CTAACCTTCCTGGTGTAGCACTGTGGATTAATATGCTGGACTGCAAATCGGTTTGAACTGCAAGGTCACTGGTTCAAGCTCACCAGCTGCTACTTGGAAACTGTACAGGGTCACTACGGGTCACAACTGACTCGACAGCACTTAACAACAACAACATTCCTTTCAATTAAAGGGACTGTCGCATCCTCTCAGGACATAACCAGAACCCTCACGCATAAGGGAGTCAAGGTATCAAAGATAATCCATCGCTGCTCCGATTTGGGAAATCACAGACTCCCATCATTGTAAAGAAAGCTCCTTGCCCCAGGTACCTGGACTTTCTAAACCTTAGATCAGGATTGGGGGACCTTTTTTCTGTCAAAATGTGTAACATCATTCACTGGCTATACACAATTTTGATGTTAAAAATTAGCATGCTGTATTTGGTCAAGCAATTAACTCACCCCTAATTAACTCATCCCTAATCGGAGTCCTGGTGTGGTGCTATGGGTTAATGTGCCAGACTACAAAGCCATTTGAACTGCAAAGTCGGCAGTTCAAGCTTACCAGCAGCTCCTTGGAAACCCTATACAGGGTCACTATGGGTTGGAACCGACTTGATGGCACTTAACAACAGTGTGGTCAGAACCCACTCAGTGGCACTTAACAACAACATGATGGCTAGGAGTCCTGGTGTGGTGCTGCGGGTTAATGCACTGGACTGCTAGGTCGGTTTGAACATCAGGGTTGGTGGTTCAAGCTCACCAGCCGCTCCTCTGAAACCCTAAACAGGGTTGCTATGAGTCAGATTCGACTCCATAGCACTTAACAACAACAGTGCCATGGCTGGAGTCCTGGTGTGGTGCTGTGGAACAACGCACTGGACCACAAGATCAGCGGTTCAAATTCACCAGCCACTCCTCAGAAACCCAATACAGTACCACTATGAGTCGGAACCGACTCAACAGAACTTAACAATACAACAAATGTGATGACTGGAATTGCAGTTGCCTTGGCAAATGAATTTAAGAACCTTATAGGGCCCTCGGGTCAGTGGGCCAGACGTTCCCCACCCTTGGCTTAGATAATTGTGTGCATCAACACTGCCCTTGACTTTCACCAGTTCGCAGTTAGTGTTTGATAATTCACCTGCTGTAAAAGAAAAAAGAGCTTCAATGGTTTTCATCGATGTGGAAGAAAACAAATCCTCAACAGCATCCCTCCTGGGAATCAGAGCCAACAATGCCTGTCACCAGTGGCCACTTTTCATGAATCTGAACAGACACATGATCTTTGATTTTCTCTTAATTTCACTGTGTATTGAACCCCGTCTCTACAGATGAATAGAAAATGCTGCATATTATACTAAGCCAGGATCAGAATGCTTCCCTCCATCTACTCCACGTATGCAAACCCACTGCCATAGAGTCAACTCTGACTTGTAACGGCACCGTATGTAGGACAACGCAGTGGGCCAATGGGTTTTTGGAGTCCTGATATGGCACTGGACCACAAGGTCGGTTTGAACTGCAAGGTTGATGGTTAAAACCTACCAGCTGCACCTTGGAAACCTTACACAAGGTTGCTGTGAGTCAGAACTGACTTGACGGCGTTTAACAACAACGTATAGGACAAAGTAGAACTGTGCAGTAGGGTTTCTGAGACTAATAGCGTTTCTGCTATAAAGATGAGCAGTCTCATCTTTTCTCCCTTGGAGTGACTGGTGGATTTGAACTGCCAACCTTGCAGTTAGCAGCCCAATGCTTAGCCCACAGCACTGTCAGAACTCTATACACAAAGTACTCTTCTTACTTACTCATGACTCTGTCCCTGTCTACTTAGTATGCCATTTTCCCCCATCTAACCCAGCCGTTCCGCAGGAGAAAGATGAGGCTTTCTGCTCCCGTAAAGATTTACAGCCTTGGAAACCCTGTGCAGGGTCACTATGAGTCAGAACCGACTCCACGGTACTTAACAACAACAACAACCCTGCCTGTGTTTCTCAAAGTCCACCTTGAATTCCACATCTCCCATCAAGCCCTTCTCAAACACTTTGGTGAATAGTTTATGTTTGTAACTGTTGTGGTTTCCATCTGTATTCCTTAAATCCCTAGATTTTCACAACTGTGGAGAAAGAGGATGTGTACAAGGGATTCTGAGTATGACTCCCAATAACCTCCCTGCTCCCCTCAAGTGCTCCAGTCAACTAAGGCATGCAGGCGAACCTTCTCTCTCTTGCTGAGCCACCTTACCTGCATTGCTTAAGATGGAGAATAAAAAAAGAAGAGAGAGACTAGAGTTTAATCCTTCATTTTATAGCAATAAAACTGAGGTCTGCAGAGGTCAGAGAAGTCTACAAGGTCACAGATCAAATTAACAGCAGAGCTGAAACTAGAACATAGGTGGTCTCATTACAGCCATTGTTCTTCCCTTTAAGCCTTGCCTGCCTCCTCTGAACTTGGAGAAAACACAGTGATGAAATGAAAAAACACTGAGCTGGAAGCAGTGTATCAAACTATGGTCCTGATTCGGCCACGTACTTGCTAAATGACCAAAGGCGAGTCCTTTCCCCCTGCTAGACCTTGGGGCTCTCTTTTAAGTTAGACAACACATCTCTCAATCTCTTCCTTCCAGCCTGGAGTGTATGATAGGGCCATTTCACTATTTCATTTAGATCTTTCAGAGCTGTGCCATCTAATATGTTGTGCTGGTGGTGGCTGTGTGCCATCAAGTTGATTCCAACTCATAGTCACCCTGTATAGGGTTCCAAGAAGCCTTCCAATATTGGAGTCCTGGTGTGGCACTGTAGGGGAAGCACTCAATGACAAGGTTGGGTTGAACCATAAGATCAGCAGTTCAAGCTCACCAACAGCTCCTCAGAAACCCTATACAGGATCAAGGGCCGCTATGAGTCAGAAACTACGTGATGGCACACAACAGCAGCAACAGTCATTTGAGGATCGTGGTGACTCTGTAGGATAAACACTGACCTGTGAACCACAAAATCAGTGGTTCAAGCCCACCAGCTGCTCCTCCAGAGAAAGATGCGGCTTTCTGCTCTCGTAAAGATTTACAGCTTCAGAAACCCTATACAGGGTTGCTATGAGTCATAACCAACTTTACGACACTTAACAACAGCAATATTTAACAATTTAAATTTAGGGCAGTTGTATAGTACAGGTAAACACTCACCCACTAACTGAAAGGTTGATGGTTCAGGTCCATCCAGAGGTACCTCAGAAGACAGGCTTGATGTTCTTTTTTTCCCATGAAGCTATTGTTGTGGTGGTTGTGAAGTGCCGTCATGTCAATTCTGAGCCATAACGACCCTGTACAGGGTTTCCAAGGAGCAGCTGGTGAGCTTGAAAACCACCCACCTTTGCAGTGAAGTAGGCACACTCACACCAACCATGCGACCGAGTGCACACATGAGATTATTATGAGTCAAAATCTACTCAGCTGCAAACAACCATTTTTCAATCTAAATAAGACTAAATAGCATTTAAAAAAAAATTAGTTCCTCAATTGCACTAGCCTAATTTCTTGCTTGCAGTAGGCCCAGGTGGCTGGTAGCCGCATCTAGGCCTTTCTGACCCTGACAGATCAGACAGCTCTAGTGCTGCTTCTGCGTGCGCACCGTGAGTATACTGTGTGAAGTGCTGCTTCATGACTGGATCTTCTGGACTCAGCTCCTGGAGGGTGTAGACCATGTATTTTCACTCAGGTATCCCCAGGAACACCTGGCCCTAGTACGTCTGCAATCAATTCTTGTTATTGAAATGAGATACTTACTGTCTAGGGAGAAAATAAGAGAAATAGAAATCCAATCCATCAAAACACCAATTAGAAAAGTATAAAACAGATCCCAAACAAAGGTTTTTATACAAGGAACTGATGGTGGAGTGTTTTCCCTAAGCTAGGACTCTTTGTAGTGCTGGTACCAAAAGCCATCTGTTGTTGTTTTTTGTTTTTGTTTAATTCAAAGACATATATTGAAACAGTAGAAAATCAGGATTTCTTCCCTTGGGCTTCTATGAAAATCTTTTGCTTTCTCCACCCACAAAAGAAAAGGCTCCAAACGCTTATCCTGAAATCAGTTTGTTACATAGTCTCTGAAGCTGAATGTAGGCCTTGTATCCTAACTACAGGTATGAAGACGAAACTTGTCATGTGTCCTTCCCTCCCACCCCTGCCTCAGGTTCCAGTCATTCACTTTCCCTTGTCCTTGTGTTCACCAGGGTTGATTAGGATAGTTTTGTTCCCTCCTTTTTAGTTGTTGCTATAGGTTTCCCTCTGAGTGTGGCCATCCTAAAGTAATTCTCAAGTAGCAGCTGCCCATTCTAGAACTGGTTTCCCCTCTCTCTCTCTTCTTTCCTCTCTCTCTTGTAACTTCAGGAATGAGTAGCCATTTGTTTATTTAATCAGTGTTTGTGAGAACCAGTCTTTCTTCATGTTAAAAAATAATCTCCGCAGTGAGTTGAAGTAGAGGAAGAAAAACATTTTCTTCCCTTGACTGCTTTGTCAAAAGTTTTGTTTACTAATTCTACTACATCTGTTCCTATTGCCTATCCTCTCTTGACCTTTCTTTTTCCCTATCACTCAAGCTAAAAAACATTTACAAAGACCCAAATTAAAATCTGTATCTACAAATAACTCATAGCAATTGTGTATAGCGATTACACAGTGCTCCAACATGTTAGCAAAATACATTATTGTTTCCAAGTTTGGGGGCAGGGGGAGGCAAAAATACATAACAAGACTGTGCTGTGTCCTGTTAAGATGTTTTGTTAGTAAATAACAAGCCTACAAAGAGATGAAGTATTCAGGAAGGGCAAGGTGGAAGGGAAGAGGCAAGATGGGGTGTGTGGCAGAAACAAGGTCAACTCTTAGTATGAAGGGCTAGCCTTAGGACCCATGTTCAGTCTCACATGGCTGAGACTGGGCTCAGTGTAGTAATGAAGCATTGATTACAAGAAAAAAGATGAAATGGCCTTTGCTCATTCATTATTTTTATCTCCTAGCTGTGGAAGACAGAAAATTGTTCATAGGAATGGTTTCGAAGAAATGTAATGAGAATGATATCAGGGTGATGTTTTCTCCATTTGGCCAGATAGAAGAATGCCGGATTCTCCGGGGACCCGACGGGCTGAGTCGAGGTGAGTGTGCTGTCTGTAAAGTCTCTTTCCTTAAGTGCTAATTGGAGCTCTGTGTCACAGTCAAGGTAGACCTAGCCACCACATACAGCAAGAGGTTATTCTGTAATATGTCCCCCATGTGATAAAGTTATCCAACCTGAACTTTTCACCGTAGCTGAAATGATCAGCTTTTATGTCTCAAGTAGAGAAGGTCTTGGTGCCAGCATATTAGCTCAGGTTATCACTGTCAGATGGAAAGCTGACAGGCTGCCCTATCGTCACACATCCTCTGTTCAATCTTAAATTGAAGATTTGGGGGTGGAGGAGGACATGGGAAAGATGTGGAGGATGAGAAAGAATATTTGTTGTTTTCATCTTAGTCTTGTGGTTTTCTGCCTGGGCCTGAAAGAAATGTTAAGGGTATTCTCCTCTTGATAGTAACACAACTCAAGAAAAAAATTTCACATGTAGCACAGAGCAGATAAGGACTACAGAGTAACTGCACCTGTCTTACAGTATGAGCATTTTATTTCAAAGAACAAAACTACTGAAGTCCTGAGCACAGGACATCCTTTCAGTGACAGAGAAATGAGTTGGTCCTGAAGAAGATGGTAGGCTCTTCTTTTCCACCATGATAGAAGCAAAGGCAGCAGCTTCAAGCAGTGGTGAAAGCCCATATTTTTGCAAGCAGCTATACAAAATAGTTGGAAATAACTGTTCCCTGTACATGTTTGCTTTCCCTTTGAAAATGCCGCACACCTCCTTTCTTAAACCACTCAAAAAGGTTGGCACTGAGTGTTCACAATTATCTGACTGCAGCTTCCTGTGTCAGTCCAGAGAGGCAGAATTGAAAGTCTGTTGTGTGTGACATATTGTTCAGTTCCTATGTGAAAGCTTCATCTTTGCACCATGAAGGGGATATCATTCTGCTATTAATCTATTTGTCAGTGCCATTTCCACGGAGCTAATGAGAAGCTTTTCATTCTCAGCATCAGACTGTGGGACAGCATAGCTATCCCAAACCACATGGAGAAAAGAAAAGGTTGGCCCACAAGTACCAAGGCACTTATTTTTCATCCAGCTCACTAGTTTTCCCTAAATTCATTGCCATGAGAGGATGAACATTTGTTCCATTTGGCTATTAGAATTTAAGCTTCAGGGTTTCCACTGCTAGAAAGGAAGGCATGGAGAACAAAAATTCTCTATGTACATCCACCTCCAGAGCCCCAGACTTGGAAGCTTTCTGGAGACAAACTAGAAGAAGATGATTTCAGTTCTTTTATTTTGGTTAAAACAGGGAAAGAGAGAGAGGAGAGAGAAGTGGAATCAGTTTAAGCCGCTGTAACAATTCTGAAATTTTCATTATTTAACATTCACTGAAAAGATGGGACGGTCTAAAAACTAAGCAAGACATGGTATTGAGCAGCATCCCTAGACAGCATACCCAGGGCCTCGGCTATTCTGTAGCTCACCACCTGTGCCAGGGTCAGAACTGGCCACGGTCTTCTATCATCCTTATGGATCAAATCACCTCTGGCTCCTATACAACCTCACGACAGAGGGAAACTGAGAGTTTCATCCTACTGCCCTTTGGGTCATCTTGTTGTTGTTGTTAAGTGCCGTCGAGTCGGTTCCGACCCATAGCGACCCTGTACAGGGTTTCCGAGGGTGTAAATCCTTACGGGAGTAGAAAGCCTCATCTTTGCAGGTTGTAAAACCATGAGTGCTTCTAATCATTTCCGGTCATTTGGTTCCACGATAGTCGTAATATGGGTATGCCCCTGTAGGCAGACAAACCAGGTGAGAGTCTATGGTAGGAAAAGGCAGTATGTTAAATGAAGAATCAAAAAGATAGGGGAGATATGATTTTGGATTTCTCTTTTCTGCTGCCAATTTAGTAATTAAAATTACTGTGCTTTCCTGTAAGGCTTTCAGTAGCACTTCAGTATTTTCGTTGTAGTCTTCATTCCCAAAGCACAGCCTGGAGAAGAGATAAATAAATTAATCATGGTGGAATTCATAGTAGCTTAGAAGCCAGTGACCCAAGTTGTAGTCCCAGGATTTCTACTGCAATGAAGTGTGACCTTAGTCAACTCATTTTCCTAGCTCTATCCCTCGGTTTCCCCATTTGTAAATGACAGCAGTAAAAATATCAGCCCTGCTTATTTTATAAGTGATTGTTAGATATGGATGTGATCCCATCCTGTATAAGCCTATCATATGCATGGTCTAGCCTAGAGACCTTAATATGAAGTGTGAGTGCTTGACCTCTCCCCTCTGCTTGGCATGGCAGATCTTTTGAATGATTCCCTGTTGCACTTCCTTCATCTGTCCTGTGGGGGCAGTAATGAGTAGCAGTGCTGCCTGCCGCGTGTAGTGCTCCTTGAGCATACATTAGTGATTTCTGCAGATAAGATTTTAAAGCAGTCCAAAGTTTCGTAGGAAAGAGCAGGACACGGTACTTAACAAGAGAACTTAGCTAATTTGATCTGCCATTTGGTTGATTAACCAGCACTTGACACCAGAAGCAGCCCATTTCTGAAATAAGTTATGGGAGCACTCTCATCAATATTTTATGCAAATGCTGTCTCAATGTAAAGAGTAGGATACTCCCCCAAGCCGGTTTTTTTTTTTTTTTTTTTTAAACAGAAAAGTAATTTCTGGTGAGCTGATGAGAATTCCCTGTTGCAAAAAAGAAAATGCTCATTTATAACCATTTGTTCGGAAATATAAAGACAGACAGTAGTACTGTTTTCAATTAGCAGGACCCAGGGACTCCTGGGTACAAGGGACATTGCTCCTGCACAGTGTATTTGTTAAAAGAACAATTCTCTTTCACGCCACTATTTTGCTTTTATTAAAGAATTGCCATTTTCAATCAAATATTAATAAGTGTCTCCCATTAGTGGCACTGCAGATAAAGGGCGCTCAGCATTTCTGCTTGCAATGCCAATTGCTGGCTCAGCTGTTTAAATAAATAAATAACAACTAAGTTAAATCAAAGCTGGGCTGTTTTGTGAAAAGTAGTTTCCAATACTAAACCAGAGTAGATAGTATTCTGTAAACTTTCTTTTTTTAAATCAAACAATTTGAGGAGGAAAGAGGGGCAGGTGAGTGGTTCACTTTTTCCTCTTGCCCTGTTCATCTACAAGAATAAAGGCAAAGGAGACTATCTGTGTAGTGTAGTGACTTCTCACAGATTTCTAGTATTACCAGTCTTCTCTGGCACATCAGTGTCAAGTCATCCCTAACAGACATTCGTCTGGGTTTCTTCAGACCTGGTGATCAGTACCCCTCATTGCATCTAAGTCATGGGTTGTTGGGGATTCAGGACCCACAACTTTGGACCCTTCAAGTCCTGTCATACTTCAGTTAAGATCACTGTCTTCTTCTGGCTTTTTTTTTTTAAATGGCAGATTGGTGAAAAAGATCTCATCATTACTCACCAGAGCTGGATCTTCACCATGTTCCAAAACAGACTACAGACATGCTCAGGAAGTTGTTTGGACTCTGTTAATGGGACACACATAACAGCTTTCGAGCACATTGAAGCTGCTCGATAAATGTTAGGACTCTTTCTGACTTAAGGCCATTGAGTCAGTGCTGATTCATGGAGACCCCCTGTGTGCAGGGCATAAGTGCTCCTTAGAGTTGTCAAGGAGGCTGTGACCTTTCAGAAGGAGACTGCCAAGTCTATCTTCTGAGGCACCAGGGGAAAGGTTCAAACTGCTAGCCTTTAGACTAGTAGTTGGGCACTTAACCATTTGCACTACCCAAGCCTCCCTCTAGGCAGTGTGCCCACCTCTAAAGATGCATTTTCCCTTTTGTGGACAGTAACTCATCATGCTATTTTTTCTAATTTGGAAAGCATGGTGTTGAGATGCTTTTAAGCAACTTCCTGATATTCACATCCTTTGGTGCTGGTGATCATAGGATCCAACCTCTTGAGGCCTGCTGTGTGCATTTTCATTGAAAACGCAAGCTGGATACTGCAAGCCCATGTGGCAATTCAAATGAGATGTTTGTGCTCAGAATTCAAAAGCCTAAGGCTTCTAAGCCAATGCATGTGTTTAACAGTGTTACCTTAGCATGTTGATTTCCTAAATACATTCGCACTTACCATATCCCCACAGTCAGAATTAGCTCTTTGAGTACAATTTACAGAGTTTGCTGTACCATAGCAACAGAATATCTGTAACTCAGAGACAATGAAGGAGTTTGCTTCATTTTTCTCTCCCATAGACTGTAGTCAAATCTTCACTGCCATTTAAGGTAACTTTCTGCTTGTTTAAGAATATTCCAGCTGTGTTTATGAGGCTCCAACATTCTCCTGCCAAAGCCTTTGAATAAATAAATTGGCGATATTTTCAGGGATGTTGGAAAGCATAGACTAGATTTAGCCGTTGCGTCCTCATTTGTTTCTGCTGTATCTGATCTGGGCTTTGGCATTGAACTTTTAAAACAAGGACATGGAGAAGACCCAGTTCTGACCACAACAGTAGAGCCTTGCCCACACAGTGTTTAAACATCCAGATATGCAGATGTTTATCAAATGCTCATACTCTCCCATCCCCAGGTTAGTGGCTGCATTCTGTAAAGCAGATTATCTTGTTCCGAATGTAATCTTCAGTCTCATCTCAGTGATGAAATCTTGCCAGCTATGGAGTTTGCCCACATCTGCACTCAATCTCAGGTGGCATACATGAATTCTCTCTCAGCGCCTATTTTAAATATATTTACCCACCATTGTGGGTGGGGCATTAGAGTGTTAATTTGTATGCCTCAATATTATATCAGTAGCATATCTTTAATAAATTCTGCCTATTCTAAAAAGATGGTAACAGAGAGAAAAATTGACTGCATCAAGACCTTTCTCTAACTGAATCTGAATCTATAAACACGTTTTCCATAGGTTGAAATCTCCTTGATGGTGCACAAGTTATTTTAAATGATGCTGCTTTCATTTGAAAGATAGCAGGCTACTGCTCCTTTTTCTCAAAGAGTTGGCAGAAAAGCAAGAGATCCTGGCATTATATGCGCTTTGAAAGTGTCTCTACTTCCTTTTTTAATTTTTTGGTGCGGAACAAGAATTCATCTAGTTCTCTCTAGATTTTCTTGCAGCTGAGAAAGAAGGTAGAGCACCTGAGTTAAGATATCCTTTCAATTGAAATGACAAGTGTAATAGATGTGTTCCAAAACCTTGTCTGTGTCAGGGCTGCGTGCTTCCCCTTAGATCCTGTCTGTGGGAGGAAATTACTTTGAGAAACCTTTCCCCAGTCAATCATTTATCTGTTTTAGCTGTGAGAAGGCAGCCTCCCTGAAATAGAGGAATTCTACTCCTTTCATTTCTATTAGCAATCTCTGACATTCTGAAACTGCAGACAATAAATAATTACCAGGTAAATTGCATGTGGGCCACATTTACAGATTTAAAAAAAAATTTTTTTTTTTTTTTTTGCTAGTATTTATGTAGAGATTTGAAGGTAGTAAGTAATGCACAGGCTATCATACCTAACAAAAAAGAAAAGTGACTTCATTATTTTAGTACCTGTGTTTTCTGTCTGGTTTCCTCTGCATCTTGACCAGCAGCCAAATGACTGATTTCTGAGCCAGCACACGTGGAATTAAGAGTCCAGAATGGCTTAGGGCTGTGACTGTACAAATTCAAAGCAGTTGCCCGGTCAAGGCCCAGTGAACTCCACTGCACCCAGGACCTCGTTTGTAATGTAGTAAAGGAAGGTGATGATTATTCTGACAGATGCTGTGTCTGTCGAATGGGAAGTCGTGTAGGTGGCTGGTGAGAACAAATGATGAGCCAATCTTGTTGGTAGGACTTTAGGCAAACCTCTGTGAGTAAAAATCCATTGATTCAAGGCTTAGTCCCCAAGCCACCCACTATATTTTCAGTGGTGTTGGAAAAAGGAAATCAAAATCTAGCCATAGGCCGACTGGCACCTCCTGTTCTGAGAGAGATTCCAAAGGTTAACAAGCCAGCAGTCCTAGAAATACATGGCTCTAAGGTTACTTAACTTCATCAGAGTGGCAGAGAGAATGAGGGTTTTCAACATGCACTCAACAGGCACTCACTCCCTCTTTATGAATGGCACAGTCATTTTCCCTCTTAAGTAACTGAACAGAGCACTCCGCACAGAACTTGACTGAAGTCCCCAAGGAGACAGCTTCTCTCTGACTGCACCACTGTCAACAGAACAGAAGTCATCAGATTTGTCAGATCACTTTTGGGATAGGGTAAGGATAGTGTAATTAGACGCATCAGTCGAGCTTTTAATCGCAGGCTTCGTAGAGAAAAGGGCAATGAATGGTTTGAGTTTCTTAGAGATAGGATTTTATTGTTCTGTCACTAATACTTTTGAGACCTGTGAATTGTGATCTCTTTCTCACTAAGTTATTTTTAAAAAGTTCTGCTGGTTAGAAATTGTGGTACATGCATAAGCTGTGCCTTACTGATTTTTGTTGATATTTTCCATGTTTTTTTTAATGGATTCTTAGCCTCCATTTGGAAACTGCCAGTTTAGCACATGTTCCTGGACAATAAGAGCAAATGAAGTGAATGGAACAATCTTGTTGACTATTAAAAGCAGAGTTAGCCCAGGTTTCACACGGCTTCAGAGATATCTCCATCAGACTGTATGTGTTTGCCTCCGTTGTAGCTCCTAGATAAAAAATGGAAAAATAAACATTTTATAGTGTCATTTCCTCCGTTAATAATGTTGGTGATGATCGTGATGTTTTTAAAGAGCAACTAGTTGGAAATGGATGGTAAATTTGGGACTATAAGAGCTCATCCTCAATATAGGAAGCCAGCAGAGGTAGTGTCATCTGTCCCTCATTCAAGTGCACACTTTGTCTAGATGCCTTATAGAAAGCCACTAAATGATTTTATTGATGACAACAGCTACAGTCATTATGGGCACAGGCAGTGTGCTTAAGTTGTAAGCTTCATCAGCTGGTATAATGCTTGAGAATTATATGAAACAGCCCAGCATTCATGGCGTCACTCAGGCTTTGTAAGAGGCCAGCTTAACAGGGAAAGGTGAATGTAAGAGAAAATGCCCTTGTACTGAGAGACTTTGTGTAATGAAAATGACAGCATGAAGGGGAAGAAAATGCATTGACTTATTTTTATGACTGGATGTTGTTGTGCGTTGGAGGGGATGGGCAGACGTTGCTTTCTCTTATTGCTGTTAGATCAAAAGGTACTAATCCAGCATTGACTTGATAATCTCACCAGGTATGCATGCAGCAAAAGAAGCAACTATCTTCTTATGCCACACAAATTGATTTACATAAACCAAACAATCTGCTGCTTGTTTGAATGTAGAACATTTTATTTTGCTTATTGGCCACAGGGGTAACAATATCGTATTGTTCATGCCAGAATTCCTCTTTCATGCATCCACTCTGAAATGACTACAGGCTCCAGCCTCTCAGTGTTTAGATCTGCTTCATTTGGAAATCTTTTAAGTAGTAATAATAATAATGTTTTGAGGAAATTGAGTGGAACACTAAATTATTCTCTGATACCTAAGTTCAAACTGTGCAAGGCTAAAGAAGCTGAAAATCAATGCACTTTTAAAGTCATTAGAGATCATAAATGAAAAGTCTGTGTTGCTTTAGCTAAGCTTTTAGTGTGCTGTGGTATTATTATAAAAGCTGCCCGAATCTGCATTAATTTCACAGTCATCTTCTCTAAGAAGCCCAAGGGTGCATGATAAATAAAATGTAAATTTTAGAAGGCAGTGTTTTTATTGGTGAAAAGGCCAATGAGCCGTGTAGTTGGAGTGGTGACCTGCATGGTGGCCAGCCAGCACTGGTACAAGAAGCAGGAACAGACACCACGGATTCTAGCGCAAGGGAAAAAAGAGACAGAAAATTTTATGGGTCACACAGTAGACATTCAGAGAAATGAACAGTCTCGTGTGTATGTTAGTCTTTGGGTTAAACCTTTGCTACACCACAGAGAGTTACAACTTTCAAAAAGCACCAAGATTTTATACAAATAAAAAGAGAGTGCAAGTTTTTCAATTTTACCTTCTATGTGCTGTCGAGTATTCTCAGCGTATTAGAGCATTTGTTCCTGGTTATAATTAGTCATTACTGAATATATTTGTATAATATTGCTATATTTGTTTATATTTATTCATATATATGTTTTTTAACTACCCAGAGGAGATGATAGATAGATAGATAGATAGATAGATAGATAGATAGATAGATAGATAGATAGATAGATAAAGATAAGATACTATTTGCTGACCTTTTGAGCTCCTGAAATTTATTTGCTAATTTGCCCTTGGTGTGAGGATTTTAATATTTTCTTCTTAAAATTCAAGGATAAAATTTGAAAGACAATTCCTTAATATGTGTCTGCCCCAAGTAAAGATGATCATCCAAGGAGAAAATGTAAAACAACAACTTTTTTACTCTTACAAAATGCAAACTAGATCTTGCTCATTTCAAACCCTGTGGCTAAAAAAGTACCCAACGTCTTCCCCTACTCGCCATTTAGAAGCATAAACTAATAATAAATCTTTCTGCTTTGGTCAGATTAGCAAGTCAGCACTGTGAATAAAAATCAAAGTAAGATAAAGCCAAAGAGAGAAGTTGTTTATTTTTATGTACTACTGAGAACAGTATCGTCTTGTGGCAGTTCTCGTAGATTGTGTTGGTTTAACAAGCGTCCAACCCTTTTGTCTTGTTGTTTTTTGTCTTTCCTGCTCCCTGTCCCCTTGTTTCCCACAGGCTGTGCGTTTGTCACATTTTCTACAAGGGCAATGGCACAGAATGCAATCAAAGCCATGCATCAGTCTCAGACCATGGAGGTACTGTATCATCTGCCCTTTCTTTGTTTTCTTTGTGCAAATGATGGGGAATGGTAAAGCAATTCTCTCCTGTGTGGATTGTTCACATGACAATCACAGATTTAAACTTTCACCATCTCTCTTTTTGTTCATTCATATTCATTCTCATTCATACTCTCACTCTTTCTCCTCTCTCTCTTTCCCTTCCCTCTGTTTTTAATCTCTCTCTCCCTCCCCCACTCTGAATTTTTTTCCCCTAATGACTTGAAATGCATTTAGTAAAACCTTCCACTTGCTCTACAGATATTTTTTGAGCCTTTTGTTGCAGAGGCACAGGCCCTGCAATGTAACGTCGTGGTGCAATTTAAGCCAAGTGCCATCTGTACCTAAAGAATCAAATACATTCCCCACCCCAGGGTTGGTACGGATTAGATATGAACACCGCTACCTGAAATCGCAGCTTACCCTGCACTTACCACAAGGTGCTAAGCCACAAGGTTCTTTTACTGGTATGTGGGATCCAGTTATCTTTAATCTACTCATACAATTGTAATTTTTTGCATGAAGAATTTTGGAGAAAGTTAATACTTTTCCCACTTCATTTAACCAATGAAAATATTCATTTTTAAGAGCCCACTGAAAATGTAGATTTATCTCAGTCCTAAAAAGTGGGCAGTAACAAGGAAGCATAAAGGCTCAAATTTGATCTCCTAATAATAGTTACTTTACGGGAAGATGAATACACTGGTGTGGATGTGCACCCACAAATGTAGATAGATGGCTTGGTACTTTTAGTCTGTGATTTGGGTCATGGCCTTTCAGAATTTTGCACAAAAGCATTCCGAGAGTGATATGCCATTATTTATTCTGTATTGTCTGATAGACTCATTTGGGAGTGCATGTTCTGCTGTACTATGTAATACTGTATCTTTGTGTATGGGTGATCTTTTCTGGAGGTGGCCTTGTGATGTTATATGAAACTATGTTTATTTTTTGGGGGTAAGACATTCTCAGTTTTATCTAACGTGCAAAATTTCTTTTTTAACTGTTTGAGCTTCTTCTCCCCTCCCCCCATTTTGTTGGGGTTCTTTTTTTGTTAGTTTGTTTTTTTGCAATGCTGCATCTCCCAATGCATGCTGGGAGCTAAGTGATCATTATGCGTCATGTTTTGTGGGCAACTTTTTAAAAGTGAATCAAAAGGTGAGGACGGGGGAAGGGGGGGAGAAGGCGTGTGCATGGCATTGTCCTTAAATGTTTACTGTACTTTTCTGACTTGTGATACCAGCATTGCAAAACCTATTGTCTTTTCAAACATTCATTTTGACTTTGCTATTCTTAACATATCTCATATAATCAATGTGTTTTCCTTTCAGTGCAATGCATTCTTAAGACACTCACACCCCCTACCTGAAAGCAAGCTCAGGTGAAAACCGGCCATGATAGGAAATAATTAGCAGGATTTGAAATACCTAGGAAGCCAGTCTTGTGCCATATGCAGTACACATGTGATGATGTGTTTGTTCCCTTTTCTCTGATCTTAGGCTGCACCATTTTTGTGGATCAGTCTGGTTTCCAGCTACCTTTCAATTTGGAGATTTAAATGAAAGTGCTGTTGGGAGGGGTGGGTTGGGGGAAACGTCTTTACTTATATAATTATGTTTATTTCATTCTTTAATTATTTTATTTCCTGTAATTTAGTGACTGTACCCAAATTGATCTCATGCACCTTAGAGAAATCTTAACATAAACAATTTCGACTATGTTAGTCGGCTTTGGGGAGGGGTAGGTGTTCATCCTACCTGAGCCCCTGTCTCCCCAAGAGAAGCCACAGAGGATGCTGCCGAACAGAGCCCCTGCCCTCCTGTGCTAATAACAGGAAGGAGAACTCAAGATCATAAAGCAGAACTGGAAATGAACCAGGACCAAGATTAAGCTCTCCTACTAAAAAGAATTTGTTACACAGAATGAGATATATGGATTGTGATTCTTTGTCAATGGCATCATTAGAACATTAATTTGGTGTATTTGTTTTTAAATCCATGCTTAAACAAAGGAGCCCCCCAACACTTAAACTTCCTAGGTTTCTTTTTAATGACATTCAAATGGAAGATTATATGTGTTGCATCTTAATTGTATAGCTGAAAGTTTTTCTTTTTTTTAACCGGTTACTTTCTATTAAGGATTTTGAATCACATCTTTGACTAAGATGTGTTACAAGAGATTTGGATTAAAAATTATGTGAGTGTTAAATTTAAAAGGAGGTCTTGAAAATAATGAATTTTCATATTGTGCCTTCTTTTTCTCTACTGTCTCCCCACCGCTGCCCCCCCTCAGTTCCCATTCTGTTTTTCTCTTTCATTGTTTAAAAAAATTTTAGAGCTTTAATTTTTGTACTTGAATTAAATTTTTTTTATTTAAGGAAGAATAAAACAACAATAAATGTACAGTTAGGAGGAGACACTGTAACTTGTTACAAAACAAATTTAATGCAACAATAACCTTTATCCAGACGAAATCTCTTCTCTATATAATTTCCATTTTCGGCATTTTGCTCTTTAAAAGAGTGATGACATACTGAAATATGGCGCAGATGAGGAAAAAGGAATATTCTAGATTTAAACAGTGATGAAGTTACTTATTTGTGTGCAATTAACTGCTGACACTTAACAGTGAATATGGATTCCTGATGTATTACTGTAGAATAAACACTGGACTGCTAACCACAAGGTTGGTGGTTCGAACCCACCAGCCGCTCCATGAAAACCCTATATAGGGTCACTATGAGTCAAAACTGACTCTACAACAACAGTCGGTGTAGTGACTGGCCAGAGCTGAAGAACTGGTATGCTGGAAGAAGTTCAACACTTTTCACACTCACCTCATTTTTCTAATATTTTGCACAAATCCAGTAGGGTTTTTTTTTATGTGTGTGTTTTGTTTTGCTTTGGTTTCTGTGATAACAGACATGGGAGCCTCATGCATTCATAGCTATATTACTAAAAACCACCCAAGGTGATATGCAAGTTTGTTTTCTAGGAAAAAGTAAAATGACCCAAAGGGAAAACTCCCTAAATAACTATACAGAATTTCCAAAAGGAGAGAGAAGTCTGTTAGCACGCTGCATTTCAGTATGTTTTCTTTAGTCACTGGGGTAGAATCACTTCTTACATCAGCAAAATATAACAGCTCTAATTGTGAGAAAATGTGTCAGCAAGGCATACTGAGAGGAAGTAAAGACTGGGGAAGAGATAGGGACATTTTGGCTTGGTATTTACCAAATGGCAAATATTTTGGAAGTACTTTTAAAAGAAGCCCTTATGCTTGAGAGGTTAGGCCATTATTTTCCCTAATGCTTTTATCTATTTCAAAGATAAACATCAGTCTTTCTTTCGCCATGTCTCCTTTATTCCTTGCTTTTAAAGGAAATGAAAACGAAAGAAACTCCAAAAATGGTGAGATTCACTGGGGGAAAGAAGCCAAGTAGAATCATCTTTCTGTCATTTACAATAGAACTCCTGTGACTGAAATGTGCTTCTGATTTTTTTTGGTTTGCCATAGCCCTGGGAAGAGATCTTTCTGAAAATGTGATCCATGATTTTGATCACTGTATATCTCTGAAGATCTCTTTCCTTCACATTCCTGAACTGAGGCCCATATCTCCTGAGGACTGCTGGATTGATGATATGATGTCCATCAGTTCCAACGTTTTGCAATTCATAACTTAAAATAATTTTAAAAATTGGAGACTTTTTATCCCATTACAGTTTTGCACACCACCCCCCTTTGCCCTCTTGCTGTGTTTGAGTCGGTACCGACTCGATGGCACCTAACAACAACTTTGCCCTCTGTCTGGAAACAGACACACAGAGGCAATTCTATCTTTATAAAGACAGGCAAACCACGAAGCTTGCTTAAAGAATATTGAATAAGGTCTGTTGTCTCTCAGGAGGTCCTGGGAAGGTTGAAGGAAGATACATGAAGAGAGAAGGAGAGGCAGTTTTAATAATCAGAGCAAGAAAACAAATGGCTTCACTGACCAACTGAACCCCAAAGTAACCAAAAACAGTTTCTGGAATTTTCTGTTGATGGTACTATTCAGAGAAGAAGAAGGAGTATCCAAACAAACCACTTTTAACCAATTTCAGGTCATTCCATGTGTGCCAAGATAGTTAAGAAAGATCCTGTGCTGACTGAGTATCTTGAGAGGATTCAACCAGCCTGTAACTTCCCTCTTCACTTTCCAATGTGTCTGACCACAGGGCTGTTCTTCACCAATCGTGGTGAAGTTTGCTGATACTCAGAAGGACAAAGAACAAAGGCGCCTCCAACAGCAGCTTGCACAACAGATGCAACAGCTCAACACTGCCACCTGGGGGAACCTGACAGGTCTGGGTGGACTGACCCCACAGTACCTGGCGGTAAGTGCTTGATCAAGTCAGTCTGTGCAGGGGTCCCTGTGACCAGGGGCAATATGCACAGTGAAACTCTTGAGACCTGTTTCTTTAAGTACTGGACAGAATTCATTTTTGGTACATTTGAATCTCAAGAAATTATTGAAACCAGTGTTTATGTAGAATATTTTTCCAACTTAAATTGATTAGCATGAGAATTTGACTAATCCTAATTCTTGCCTGAAGTAGACAAAGCTAAATCCCACAAGGATAACCCAGTTTTCTAACCAGCGTTTCACAGGCATCATAAAACCCTGGGTTAGAAGAGGAATCGGCTTCCATGCTGCTTCCTACCACTCTGAAGCATACATTGCTGGTGATGATTTAATGATATTTATACTACATACTCTGGTAGCGTAGTGGTTACGAATCGGGCTGCGAACCTTAAGGTCAGCGGTTCGAAACTACCAGCCGCTCCGCGGGAGAAAGATGAGGCTTTCTACTCCCATAAAGATTTACACCCTCGGAAACCCTGTACAGGGTCGCTATGGGTCAGAATCGACTCGACGGCACTTAACAACAACAACAACAATAATACTACATATGGAGTCCTGGTGTGGTGCTGTGGGTTAATACACTGGACTGCAAGGTCAACTTGAACTGCATGGTTGGTGGTTCCAGGCCACTCCTTGAAAACGCTATAAGGGTTCGCTATGGGTCAGAACTGACTCGACGGTATTTAACTACAACAACAACATACTATGTACCAAGTCCTAGTATAGCACTAGAGGATCACCACTGGACTACTAACAAAAAGTCAGTAGTTCAAACCCATGAGCCACTTCCTCTGAAACTCTGTACAGGGTTGCTATGGGTTGGAACCAACTCCATGGCATTGAACAATAATAGCACCTTACTACATATTTGATTGGAGAGTCCTCTGCCTCATAGGTTAGTCCAGTCCACATTAGAACCTCAAAGGAAAGCTTGTGTAATGTTATGCTGGATCTTTCTAGTAGAACTTTGTTGACTAAATCAAATGTTTCTTCACCTATTTGGGGCAGGAAGATCCTATTTTTGCCCAAACAGACCCATTTGTTTAAAATATTATGTTTCGTGGTCTCTAGATTTTCATACTCTTGATGTGTACCCATTTCACTTTGTCAATGCCTGTATTAAAATTCAGTGACCATGGTTTATGACAATTCCTGTAGTAAGATCTAGTCAGGACAGAGTAGTGACCCCCTAGTGTGAACTTAATATCTTACATCAGTTGAGAATGGCATCTTTAGTAGCAATGCCACATGTGGACTGTAACAACAGCTAATACTCTGGTTTTTTGTTTTGGGGGGGTTGTGTGTGTGTGTGTGTGTGTGTGTGTGTGTGTGTTTACATGAACTATTGCAAAACTCTTTTACTTAACCCCATTTTTCTGCTTTGGGACCTAAATGCTGGTCTTCACGTTTTGCTGATAAGATTTCATATTAGAAGTTTTTATTAGGGTCTTTTGTTGCAGCCTCTGTGAGGGTATGTATTGTACAAGTGTCTCAGCTCCTACTTTGCCGTTCTGTATTCTAACTATTCTTCTCAGGGTAAGTGAACGCATCCATGAACCTTATTATGTAGCAGAAATCATGTTAAGTGCTTTGTAAAATAATCCTCATTAATATTTTGGAGGAATTGCTCGGTGTTGCTAATGGTTGATGTGCTTGGCTGCTTACTGAAAGGTTGTTGTCAATAAGTGCCATCAAGTCTGTTCTGACTAATAGTGACCCTGTATAGGGTTATCGAGGAGCATCTGGTAGGTTTGAACCACTGACCTTGAAGTTAACAGCCAGGTGTCTGTCCTGTAACACCACACTGGGACCAAAAGCAGGAGGTACAAATCCACCCAAAGCATCTTGGATGAAATGCTTAGCTATCTACTTCCAAAAGATGAGCCACTGAAAGCTCGGTGGAGCACTATTGTACGTGGCACCCATGGGGTCACCTTGAGTTGGACTTGACTCAATGGCAACTGGCTATGACTTTGAAAGATGAGATTATTCCCCTTGTACAGATGAGGAAAGAGAGGCTTAAAGATATTCAGTAATTTTATCAAAGATTATACTACTGCTGGTGGCTAAAAGGGATTTCACCTTCTCTGTGTGTTCTCTCCCTCATACCATACTGCTGCTCTACGGATTCTCTGAGTACAGATAAGTCCATTCTTTACCCACCCTCCCCAGTGTCTAGTGGGTTCTAGTATGTAATAGCTATTCCATGACTTGTTTGGTTATGAAGAAACCTATACTCTTTTTTCTGTCTTTAGGTAAATCTTTGATTATCAAAAAAAAAAAAAAAAAAAAAATTGCCCCAGTTTAGTGTCATTTTCCAGTAATTTCTTCTTCTTATCCACAAACTCAATGAGACATTATTGTCAGTTCTAAAACCTCTAGTGTTCTTCCATATACATCTCCTGACCTGCCACTCAAAATAGTTTATTTATAACTGAGTCTAGCGTAACACTAGTTTTTCACAAACTTGTGCATTTCAAGTATTCACAGACCATCTGCTTAATGATGTTTAGCAGAATTTTATCAGAGATTGACATCAAGCTCACAGTTTCAGGTTTTCTAAGAATCCAGGTGCCTACCCCAGCATTTCTGAGAACTAAGACTTAGATGCGGTCCTCAGTCTTCTGACCCATCTCCCATCCTCAAAAAGTCAAAGTGATCTCTGGCTCATATTTTCTTTGATCACACATCTGTAAATTATTCCATTAATAAAAGCCCCTTTCATAAGCTCTTACTACAACTGTACAGGGTTCCTATGAGTCAGAACCAACTCCACGGCACATAACCACCACCAACCACTCCACATAGTGAGTATGTATGTATCCCTTCCTTTTTATACTGATATCACCTTTTTGAAAAAATTAAATTACTAGATTTTTCTTTTCCTGGCTTTTGTTGTTGTTGTTAAGTGCCGTCGAGTTGATTCTGACCCATAGCGACCCTATGTAGGGTTTCCAAGGAGGCAGCTGGTGAGCTGACCTTGCAGTTCAAACGACTTTGCAGTCTGACGCATCAACTTCTCTGGATCTACTTATTACTGTCTCGTCCTTGGTAAATACCCCACACGCATTCTCATATATGAGCTCAAGAGTAACACCTGTCTTGGTTCATTCTCTCTTACTTTTCTTTCATATTATAATCAGTTTCTTCCTTTGGCAACTACTCATGCCTCTGGTTACATACCCTTTTTAAAGAATATTCAAAGTCCTGACAGAATTCAGTAAAAGAAAACCTGCCCCTTTCTCATCAGTAAGACTCTGCTTTTAGGGAAATGAGAATTCTGGCAGTGCTGAATAGCTGGAATCCTCTGCTACTTCTTTTGTCCTGACAGAAGTAGAAGTTTGATCAACTGTGTCAATATCATAATTGTTGTTGGTGTTATGTGCCATGGAGTCAGTTCCACTCATAGCGACCATGTACAGGATTTCCAAGGCTGTAAATCTTTACAGGAGCAGAAAGCCTCATCTTCTCCCACGGAACAGCTGGTAGTTTCGAATTGCTGACCTTGCGGGTCACAGCCCAATTCGTAACCACTATGCTACCAGAGCTCCTTGAGTATCATAATTAATGGGTCATTATATAATGTGTATTTAGGAGTGGAGTGCAAAGAAAACCTCCCTGTCCCTCCCACAATTCATCCCTCTGACTTGCTAGTTCTTATACACAACCATCAGAACGGTTTTTTGTTTGATTGTTTTTTTTAATGACTTAAGGTCTGGACCCCCATTACAATGAATACCCTTTAAGAAAGAAGACCATTGAATGTGTTCTTCAGATTCTTTCCAACTGAGCACTTGAGAAGGGATGTAGGAGAAGGTACAAGAATGGAGAACAGAAACTGCATACTTGATCATTTTTTTCCAGCTCATTCTCACTAAGTAGGAAACGCACTTCACGTTCCCTCTCCTTTGCAGATGTTTTACCCAAATTGCAGGTGTCATCAGTGTATGGTCATTGAGCCCTCAGCAGGTCCTCTTCACCAAAACAGTAATGCTGAAGGCAGGCAGTGGCCATCTATAATAATACGTGAGTTATTTGTCCACTGTGTAAATGCATGGTACGTCTCTTCTTATTTCTTCTTACTCCCACTGCTTCGTCTCCATTGTTCACGCTCCCAATATCCTGACACTTTACACTCTAGAAATCTATTTCTGTGGAAAGGTGACTGGCTCTCAGGCATGCCTTACCCCTCTGTATTAGGGATGGATTCTGACCCAATTCACCAGAGAGTGGTTAGCCTTGAAAATAATCCTTGATGGTGGTTTAATGGCACTCCAGGTATTTCCACTTACTTTAATTAGGTATTAATTCCTTAAAATACCTTATTACCCAATGTAATTTTTTTAGCTTTAAAAAAAAAATTAATTACTAGATGTTAGGGTTCTGAGTGTACAACCAAAAAGTCAGACCAAATAAGATATTTAAAACATTGCTGCTCACTAACCCCTCCATTTCCCTTTTCCCTTTCTGTGTGTGTGTGGTTGTGATTAAGTGTGGTGTAGCGTTTCCAAGGAGTGGCTGGTGGGTTTGAACCTCTGACCTTGTGGTTAGCAGTCCAGTGCTTATCCTACAGTGCCACACCAGGAGTCCAATGTGTGTATGTATAATCAAAAGAAAACCTACTGTCATCAAATCAATTCTGACTCACAGAGACCCTTTAGGACAGAAGCTCCGTGAGGTTTTCAAGACGATAAATCTTTACTGCAGCTGACAGACTCACCTTTCTCCCACAGAATGGCTGGTGGGGTTTGACCGCCAACCTAGCAGTTAGCAGCCCAATACTTAACCCACTGTGCCACCAGGGCTCCTTGTAATACCTAGGTAGTATATTCAAAGTTGTCAAGAGGAATTAAGAGTGAAAATTATAGACATTTTTCTCATTTTAGTAACTCTTAATGTTATGCCTGTAGTTTCATTGTTCCGAAGTCTTAGGCCTTATCAGCCAATGATGTTCCAGTATTCTTTGTACTTCCCAGTCAATTAATAGATGCCCATTTTGAGTCATATCCAGTTATAGAGTTTCTTTCTTATTAAACTTAAGAGGCCTCTTCTTGCCCAGAGGAACAATAGTACTCTATATATTAAATATTTTGCAGCACTCCAAATAAATTCTCAGAACTGATTTTAAAATTGTCTATCGTATTCCTCCTAAGCACATAACACATTTTCAGTAATAAATTTTCTAAGTCTATGCTTTTTAGTATTCATGTAAATTTGAATATAGGAAATAGCTATATGCTTTCCCCCCACCACAAACTATGTATTGATCTACCCTACCAAAAGGAGAATATCAATAAAACTAGTTAAATAATCTGCTGTTTTTGTCAAGTGCTGTCAAGTCAGTTCTGAGTCATAGTGACCCTGTATAGGGTTTCCAACGTGTGACTGGTGGGTTTGAACCACCAACCTTGTGATTAGCAGTCCAGTGCTTATCCTGTAGCACTACACCAGGACTCCAATCTTAGCAGGCTCCCATGCCCACCTAAGTTAATCTCTAGCTTGCCTGAATTGGACAAATAAGTAGACTTTAATACAGGAAACATATGTCTTTACCCTGTCGTACTCAGTGATTATACGTGGGAAAAATTTTTGGTTTTGAAAACTATAGGGAAAAATGCAGAGACTTTTTCACAGGTACATTCATTTCTTTTATTTATTTATTTATCTGCTTATTTATTACCACAATGCACAGCTTCGATGTACATAGCACTAGATTCTTTCAAGTTTTGACAACTAATACGCTTCTCTCTGCCAGTGAAGACCATCTTAAAATGAATGACAGTTTTCTTGGTCATATTGTTATGGCTATATATAACTCTACAGCCGTGAATAGATACATCTATATATCGTCACAGGGATTTTTTGTTGTTCTTAGAGTAGGATCAGCACTGGACTGCTAACTGCATGGTAGCCTGTTCAAACCCAAAAGCAGCTCTTCAGAAACCCTGTACAGAGTCACTGTGAGTCGAAATCGACTCCATGACACTTAACAATTCATGTCATCGGATTCATGGACTTCGAAGGAAGGGTAGAGGAAATGAAAGGTGAGCTGAGGCAGTTGAGGGAATGGACTTTGATTGACAGAGATGAGGGATGGTAACTACTAGACTACAGAGAGATATAATTAGTCACGCTATGTTGGTTTCAATAGATTTAACACCTGGTTGTTAAAAAGAGTAAATTGATTAATTGTTTTAAGGCAGCAATGTTATTGAGTTTCTCCAGTGTCTGTGTTTCTTAATAGAGATTAGACATTAATATGGATTTACAGCCCCAACTCTGGGGACCTTCAGTCCATCCATGGGCAGCTGCAATCAACTATATAAATATAAAGGAAACTGAATTTGCCCCCAATTTAACTCGGAACTTACTTTGTTCTTGGCTCAACATTGTCTGACAATTTTACTTTCATTTGCAGCTACTGCAGCAGGCCACCTCCTCCAGCAACCTGGGTGCATTCAGTGGCATTCAACAAATGGCTGGTAAGTCGGAAGCATGTCTTTTCCTTTGGCCAGCCTGTTGTCAGAATTTTGGATTTGTTGAGAGGGCAAAGCAGCCAGGGGTAAAGGAGAGCAAAGGGTAATTATCAGCATATTGGCTTTCTGTCTCAGTTGTTAAAATTAGATGTCAGCAGCTTAGAGTCAGCCTCCTACCTCTTGGAATTCCTGTCTACACTCCACCCTGTATAACAGTTCAAAACCACATAAGAGAACTTTGAGTTCTTGCTCAGTATACTGGATTGTTCAGTGGTGTCCAGTCGGTTCTGATTTCACAGTGAAAGCTGTATACAGTTTCCAAGGAGCATCTGGTGAGTTTGAACTGCTGACCTTGCTGCTCAAACTGACCTTGCTGACGGTCCAGCGCATTATCCTGCAGCACCACACTAGATAGTGTCTTTAAAATAGTATTGATGACTGGGGATTTCCAGCAAGATTCCTATGCCCAGAGCAGCCCAGATGATTGACGTTCCTCTAAAATTTTAATAATAGGCAGTCAATAAAAGTGTTCTGACCTCCATAATGAAAGCTAAGATTGCAGGCCTGTCTGTGGTACCATTTTGCAATCCCTTGATAACCAGAGACAATTAACAGAATGCCTTTTTTTTTTTTTTTTTTAACATTCGTACCCCAGTTGACAGAATTGTGCATCAGAAGCTTTTATGTGAAAGTGTAATCTTTGTTCTTGAGAAAATCAAAGTGTGACTGTATTTAAAAGCCAGCTCATTGAAGGATTTCTTTTTATAATGAGCTGTGCCAGTAGTAACTGAGGTGCAATGATTAGTGGAAGGTCATTCCTACTGTGTGACCTTCCACGCTGATCGCCTAACTTAACATGGTGCCAAGGAAGGCAGTGTGGGCAATAAATCAGAACACAGGTGCCTATTAACCTGCCAGAAGGAACAGTTAGAAAGCTTTCTCCTTGTTTGATTCCAAAAAAAGGTGGGGGAGAGAGGGCAAGAAGAACAGATTTTTGGCATATTAGAATGAAACACAGTTTGTTTTAATCAAGGACATCCTGAATCAATGAAATGAAACCTGAACAGAATAAAAGCCAGATCTGTTTCTCTATCACTATGAAAACTACCCATCCCATTTTCTTTCTGTCTTTCTTTTCACAAATATATATCCTTGATTTTTTTTTTTCCCCCTTGTGTCACTTTGAATGAATCTTGGAAACCTTTCAGTGAGCACACAAGGTTTCTCCCTATAGGTGTTCCATGATCGTCAGCCCATCCCTTCATTGTGGCTTAGGAGCTAATGAGAACTTGTTGTCTGACAGTATATGTTGGCCTATAATTGAAAAAATACTGCTGAATTATTCTTTGGGCTTGAAATATGCTGATACTGCCTGTTTGTTCTGTTTTAATATTGCTTTGGGGCTCTTGAGAAATATATATATATCTTAACATGGTCAATAGTTAAATCATTCATCAGTACCTGTACAAATACAATTTGGGAAGCTGGCCTTTGAGGTAATAATCACATTAAGTGGTTAATTTCTTTTTCATTCTGTTTAGGGAACTAAAGAGAGATAAATACTTGGGGGAGATTTCCATGTCTTAAAGAGAAAAACCTCCAGAATGCAAGCTCTAACATGAATGCTAAGATTGTTCAGGGCTTTTTCCGATGGAAAATGAGTTTTTCCTCTAATAACATGGACCCAGCCAGATCCAAAATTAGGGGCTTTCCTTAGAGGAAGCCTCCGGCTCTCCCACTCCCACAGTTGAATTATGCAAAGCAGGTCATTGGGTCCTGAGGCTACTGCCAAGAGTGTCTTCCCGGGTGGACCGAGTGCCCTGCCATTTTTCATTAGGATGTGTGCTGCTCTGCCTCACCAACTATAGGTCAGGATGTTAGCATTTACATACATGCTCTGCACGCTCATTTAAAAACCAACAGAATCTGGGAATCTCCTTAAAAGGTACCGTGGAGCAGATGGCTGATTTAAAGGCATTCTGTAAGTGCTCTGGGCTTCCCAAAATATTCCTTTCTCAAAGCTTCAACCTGTTAAATTCAGCATGCTAAGTGTGCACAGGCTGTGGAATCGAATGCTGAAAAGTCATCATGTTGAGTATTTAGAGTATGAGCATGTACAGATGTCAGGGCTCTGTCTGCTTGGCAGGGATGGGCTGCAGAGAATGCCCTTCATTCGCTTGAATCATCAGGCCTCATCTTCCTTAGTGTTTAAAGCACATGGTTTGGAGTGTTTATTTTCCAGTGAAGAAAAATGATCTCCTATTCTTTAGTCTGCTCTCAACAGTAGGGTTAACTGTTTTTCCTTTGCTAGTACTGTAGAGTAGACATGGTAGATTGGGAATAGAGGTTGCTTTCTCCAGACAGAGTGAGTTCCCAGTTCCCACAAATGCCGAACAGTTGCCCCTCTTGGGCCTTTCCCTAAAGCCTTCACTTCTTTATCTCCTTCAGGGAAACACTAAGGAGCAGTTCTGCTCTGGCCTATAGGGTTGCTATAGTGTCAGTGTTCACCTCTCTGCTTCCTTACTCACTGATGCCCCATATTGTACTCTGAGCTCTGAGGGCAAGGCCTGCCAGCCACAGATTCAGTGCTTACAGGACTGTCTGCCACAAAGAGATGCTCCACACTAATTTTGAATGGATGAGTGAAGAATAAATTTATAAATCAGCAGAAACAAACATATTTTAGAAGTATTCCCATTGGAGCTTAAGTTAAATGCCCAGTTTTTATTTTAAGAAATTTGACTTTAACCTTGCTTATACACCAAGGAGCTCTGGTAGCATAGTGGTTACGAATTGGGCTGTGAACCTTAAGGTCAGCAGTTCGAAACTACCAGCTGCTCCGTGGGAGAATGATGAGGCTTTCTGCTCCTGTAAAGATTTACAGCCTCAGAAACCCTGTACAGGGTCGCTAGGGGTCGGAACCGACTCAGCGGCACTTAACAACAATAACAACAACAACATACACCAATAAAACGTACAAACGAACGTCATTATCTTCATGAGTGAATTATTGAGAATTTGGAGATAGACAGGCTTTTTTAAAAAGCATGTTACAGAGCACATGGTATATATTCATATACAGAATCAATATGATATCAGAGCTAAAGGAGTCCAAGAGGTCATACAGTCCAAACCCCACTTTGTTGGGTGAGGGATATGGTGATGAAGTGAGAGTGGGCAGGTACACAACTCAAGTGCAGTTTTTTGGTATTACAGTGGCGTAGAATAAACTCCAAATATAAAATTCAACTAGTCCAGCTTGCATCAGTAGCACCAAAGAGAGTAAAATACTATTTCAGAAACCAATAATATTTTGTTGTGAGCAGTTCTCCAAACATAATGGTCTATCCTTTAGGAGAGTAAGCTTTTATAACCAAAGTCAAAAATGCTTCATTTATATGAGGTAAATGTTTTCTGTTTGAGGAGAAAAGCCAAAAACAGAAACAGAATTTTTAGATAACACAGTACTAAGTTGTTGCATCAATAAAAGCAAAGGAGACATTATTTTTTCCCCAAGAAATCTTACCTTTTCTTACAAGCTAAAATTAACTTCAAGCATATTGTATGATTTTATAAGAGAGGAACTTTTATTAAATATGGGATTTAAAAGCAGAAAATGGATTAGGATCAAATTTTTATAAGCTGAGTGCTTTTATGTATACTTTTTGTGTCTCCTTGAAATTGATTGATTTTATTTCTCCTTGCAAAGCTTCTAATAAATGTGCCTATTTCTCACTCAGCTGTGGTATGTAGTCAGTGAATTTCTGAAATCTCAGGAACTTGGGATCTGAGTTTGGACTAAGAGTCTAGATTTTTCTTGAAAGATTTTTGGTCCTTCACTTTTGTTTTTTTCTGTTCTTTTTAACAATTTTATTGTGTCACAAAAGTAGTGTATTTGAGTTTTGTTTCCAACCAAGCTCTTTGAAATAATGAGATTCACTATCACCACATGCCAAAGACAACTGCTACTTCAATTGACTGCATTGGAAAAATGAAGTAAATTGGACCGCAGCACCCATGAGTATGGCACAATACAAATTAGGATACGGAACTCCCAAGGACCACAATTATTTTATGAAACAAATAGACTGTTAGTACCCCATTTTACAGGTGGGGGAAATGAAGCTGAGAGAGGCTAGTAACTTTCCCAAAGTTGCCAAACTCTAGTTAGTGACAGATTCAGATTTCTAATTCAAGACAGCCTGATGCAAAATCTGATCTCTCTATTGCACCCACCCTTGAATAACTCTGCTCTGTCTCTCAGGATACTCAGATTTATCTGCAGTGACATGTGTACTCAAACCAAATACTCAACTGTACGTAAATGCAGAGCTGTTGCTGCGTGCCATCTGACTCATACAGACCTTGCATAGGGCTTCTGAGACTGCAAATCTTTATGAGAGAAGAAAGCCTCATCTTTCTCCTAAAGAACGACTAGTGGATTTGAACTGTTGATCTTGCAGTCAGCAGTCCACTGCACTGCCATGGCTCCTTTATATAATGTAGAGAGAGCCCCAAGAAATGCTAATAAAGAAGCAATTCGAAGAAAGAGACAGGAAAATAGCCTTTATTCTGGAAAACATTTCAGATTTAGTAGGAGCTGGTTGTATTTGTTAGGGCAGTTGTATTACTAGGCTGAGGCATTATTATTAAATTAACAATAGAAGTGATGAAGTTATGGTCGAAGAGAAGTATCTGTTGATGAAGAGGGGGAAGCCTGCTTCATTTAAACTGTGACATTCAGTGAAGATCGAAAGTAATTCCCTTCCAGAATATTTTATGTAAGTTTTCAAAATAACAGTAAAACTATCATATACGAATATTTGGCTAAAACAACAAAATAGCTGTTATCATCTTGAAGAGTATCTTCAGCTGTCTGTCACAAGTGGAGAAGCCTTCTGCAAAACCCATGCGTAGACGAGCTGAACATCTTGCATTGGAGATACTTCCAGTTGTGAAGTGTGCATCTTAGACCCACGAAGATCCCCTATTCTACCCGAAGCTGA